GGAGTGCGGCCCAGCGAGTATGCCCTCCCCCCCAGCAGACTAGGCTTTTCTCCGGACGCCTGTGGCAGAGCAGCTGGGGTGCTGCGGTTGCTCCAGTAGTGCCAAGGAGCCGCGCTACTGGTGCAACCCAGCAGCACCCCAGCTGCTCTGCCCCAGGCGTCCCCAAGTCAGCCGCTGATCAGTTTCAGCAGCAGCTGACTTGGGGACGCCTGGGTTTCTTAAGTTGAATCTGTATGTAAGTCAGAACTGGCGTCCAGATTCAGCCGCGGTTGAAACTGATCAGTTTCAGCAGCAGCTGACGCCAGTTCCGACTTACATACAGATTCAACTTAAGAACAAACCTACAGTCCCTATCTTGTATGTAACCTCAGCCGCTGATCAGTTTCAGCAGCAGCTGACTTGGGGACGCCTGGGTTTCTTAAGTTGAATCTGTATGTAAGTCAGAACTGGCGTCCAGATTCAGCCGCGGTTGAAACTGATCAGTTTCAGCAGCAGCTGACGCCAGTTCCGACTTACATACAGATTCAACTTAAGAACAAACCTACAGTCCCTATCTTGTATGTAACCCGGGGACTGCCTGTAGTTGCAAAGTTCTTGTTGCAGGCTTGTAGCAGAGATGGAAAAACAAGTCTCTGGAATACATCCTTTGTTAGGATGGGTCATCAGTCCTTTTGGTCTCAGTTCATAGCAAAGATGCTTCAGAAGTGATGAGCTGGAATGAAGACAAAAATGATTTTTTACTCAGATTTTTGTCAAGCTGCATTTAGAAATTGTAATTCACCTAAAATATGCACATACAGCATTTTAATATTGCTTTATTTAAATGATTTTAATAGGTGATATTAAATACAGATTTTAGCATACTTTGTCATACATTTCATTGTAAATAGATTTATTTTTGTGTATAATTTAATTTTGAATACACCAATATGTTTTATCCACTCAGTTCCTAAACGAAAGCGTTTTGTCTGAAAACTGTATTCAAAGATGTAAGGAAAGATGACTTAGTGGTTGACAGATGTTTGGGCTGTGGGAGGTCTGGATTTAATTCCAAGCTTGCCATGTACTTCCTGTGTGAACCTGGGCAAATCACTCTTCACCAATTCCTTGCTTGCAAAATAGGGATGTAAAAAAGCGTTTAAAAAGTAACCATGAAACCATTAAAAATCCTAGGGTATGTCTACACTACAAAGTTAGTTCGAACTAACGAACGTTAGTTCGAACTAACTTTCATAGGCGCTACACTAGCGCTCCGCTAGTTCGAATTTAATTCGAACTAACGGAGCGCTTAGTTCGAACTAGGTAATCCTCATTCCACGAGGATTAAGCCTAGTTCGAATTTACTAGTTCGAATTAAGGGCTGTGTAGACCCTTAATTCGAACTAGTGGGAGGCTAGCCCTCCCCAGGTTTCCCTGGTTACCACTCTGGCCAACATCAGGGAAACTCTACTGCCCCCCTCCCGGCCCCGGACCCCTTAAAGGGCCACGGGCTGGCTACGGTGCCTGTGCCAGGTGCAAGCCTGCCAGCACCCAACCAGCAGAACCTGCACCTGCCCCCGATCGCCACCCGCCACC